TAGTTGATTTTTGTTACCCAATAAATTTCAAAAAATGTCTTTGTGTTGGCAATTTCGTGAAACATTTTGAAAAAATATTTTTGAGAAATATGTTTTATCTATCTTGCTTGATGTCTTCAATATTTTTCGGTTAATCCTGACATGCTTATACTTGGACATTCTAAAATCGTAATTTTCCAGTGCGGGTCACTTCCCCTTCGTCTCGAGGCGAATCTCTATTGAATTGTTGCTCCGGCTGCCGCGTCGGCTCGTTGGGTGAGCAGCAGGCAGTTCGGCCCGTATTGGAGAATATTACGTAAGTATATTTAAGAGTTGTCTGTCTCTTTCTCTCACCCTCTCTCACCCTCGCTCTCGCTCGCTCTCGCTCTCTAGCTCTCTCTCTCCCACTGTCTCTCTCACACATACTCTCTCCCACTCTCTCTATCTCTCTCACCCTGTCTTTCTCTATCTCTCCCTTCGCTCTCTCTCACTCTCTCGCTCTCTCTTTCTCTCTCACTCTCACTCTATCCCTCTAGCTCTCTCTCACTCGCTCTCTCTATCTCTCGCTCTCTGTCTCTCTCTCTCTCTTTCTCTCTCTCTCTCTCTCTCTCTCTCTCTCTGACGCTCTATTCTACAAATTGCAGTAGGGTGCTGTGGTGGCACTTGTGTGATGCGCGAGAGGAGCGCCGGGGCCCCCGAGGAGCCGTACGGAGGAGCCTCGCGTAGCCCCACTAAACAACCCTACGCCCCTGCCCTTCAACTTCTACTGTAGACCCGGACGACTACACATCACTACTCTACACGCAACCGTTCTCAGGTACAGTAGGTATACTGTAATTTTAATTTCCTGCCGTAATTAAAGTCTTCGCCTTTTGTTAAATTTTATTTTTATACTTGGGAACAGTTTGGTATTTACTACAGTAGCCCTGCCATTATAGAGATTCGATTTTGTACGCTTAAAGAAATACATTCTAACATAAGTCCTTCGAATTCCCGGAGTAACCCGGATCTAGCCGCTTAAGATATAACATCATTTATGAAAAAAATTTCCACAATTTTTTTTGGTTTTAACGGAAAAATTTATGTAAATACCTTTCTCATATTCTATGCCGTAATTAGTGCACAACTTTTTCCAAAAAACCCTCATGCAACCAATTAATTAAATGCTCAATCAGCTGCTCGGAATGGCAAATTTTTGAAACATATTTTGAAACCCCTTTTTGTTCGATTGTGCCGTACCGCGACGTGCAACGCACGCGCCGCTCGACAGCGCAAAACCATCGTCACCAATTTAAAAATCGATAAATCTAAATCTAACAATACGAGATAAACACCTTGGGGGCAGAAACGAATTGTACCGAAAAACATACAGGACGAATTGTCGCAAATCAGCAGCGGCTCTCATTGGTACTTTTCTGAAACATTATTTGAAAACTGGCTTGAAAAATATCTTCATCTGATTTTGCCGCGACGCGAACCAAGTATCAACTATTGGCTGATCAAGCCACGGTTCACCAAACCCCTTTTTTGAAATCTGCCTGAAAAAGTTTTTTATGGTTTTGCCGCGCCGCGACGCGCGATGCATACGCTGCTTCATCGCCCAAAACTATTTGATAAATTTGGTAATGAAATGCCATGGGGCGACGAATTAAATCCCGAAGCGGCTGCCCAGTATGCCAACTTTTTAAAAAATATTTTAAAAAATTGCAAAAATTTTTACCTAATTGTGCGTGCGCGCAGGTGCGGCGCGGCCTTAACTATGCCACGACTAAATCCTGAACCAGCTGCCGGGAATGACATCTTTTTGAGACTTTTTCACAGCACTTTTCGAAAAAATTTTCGTCTGAGTTTGCCGCGGCGAGACACGCAACCATACGCCGTTGACCTTGTCAAAACGGTCGTAATTCACCGCGTAAAACATCTAGGCATGCGCGTGGTGGTTCACGGCGTGAGAAGCATCATCAACGCGGAATGCTACCACCAATTCATGGGAAATTGGGTACGCACTATCACAACTTCTTGAAACATATTTTCGACGGTTTTTCAAGAAGCTTCGCGACACGCAGTATGGCAATCCTTCGAAACATTTGTTAAAAACGGGCTTTAAAAATATTTTGATTTTAATTTAAAACTTAACATTAAAGCTTTGATAGTGCGTACCCAGTTTCCCATGAATTGGTCGTAGCATTCCGCGTTGATGATGCTTCTCACGCCGTGAACCGCCAGGCGCATGCCCAGACGAGCAGACATTACGACCGTTTTGACAAGGTCAACAGCGTATGGTTGCGTGTCTCGCCGCGGCAAACTCAGACGAAAACTAATTTTGCGGCGACACGAAACACAACTAATAAATTACGGAATGAAATCTTGCGCAAGTGCGTTGCTGGTCGCGGCCCGGCAGAAATGATTTCCATCCAAAACTATCACGAATTCGAATTAACCCGCAAATCGGGTGCACAACCTGGCAACTTTGGGAAACATTTTTTTGAAAAATGGCTTGAATGGGATTGTCATCTGATTTTTCCGCGACGCGATACGCAGAGAGTGGCTGATCGCCCTAAAAAGATCGCAATCGATTACGCAATGGAATGGCGTGCAAACGCGTTCGAAGAGTGTCGCGAGCAAGTCTAAATCAGCCTTGGCACTTTTTTTTGACATTTTTTGGAAACCGCCTCCACGGAGTTGTGTTATGGTTTTGCCACGCCGCGACACGGAGCGCACACGCCGCTTGACCGCTCAAAAAGATCGTATTAATCAAGATAGCAAAGACGACGGATTAACTGACTGGGTGCACAGCATGGCAACTTTTTTCAAACAAAATTTTTAAAAAATTAATTAAACTAGACCACAGTAAACTTTATCTATTATCGTAAAATAATATTTATTTAGATTTAAAGAGGGGTTGTTCAATGACATTCAAAATAATTTAAGGCTACCGAATGAATTAATCAAAGGGTTTCATTATTTTTACTTTTCAGACGCCTGCGACCCCTTCCGTGCCATTAGTGCGCGTTGGGGCCGAGAGAAGAGAGAGAGAAGAGAGAGAGAGTCGAGAGCTGCAGAGACAGTGTTGCGGTGGAGGGGGAAGAGGAAAAAAGAAGAACAACGGAGGGCCGCCAATCAACAACAACAACATCTACATCAACAACATCTACAACTACAAGACAACAACGGCCCCCAACAAATTTCTTCTAACCCCACCGGCCCGCAGGCCAGGTATGCTTTTAAAGGGGTTCTCAAGTAAAAATTCGCGCGTGCAGGGATTGCACCTACGGTAAGGGTTGCTTAACGGGGGGGGGGGACAAATAACGGGGGTGGAAACAATTTTTTTGTATTTATAAAGAAAATCCTGCTATATTAAGACAGAGCATCGAAAGCTATACTAAGAAATTTAATTTCAGTCAAAAAAGCTTTTTTACTTGATTTAATTTAATTGATTAAAATTTTTTAACTTAATATAGTAATAATTTTAAATTATGGTATTTCGGGCTGAAATTAAATATCTAAGTATAATTTTCGACGCTCTATCCGATGGCACTAATGAAATCGCGGTAAAAAAGCTGCTAAATTCAAAATTCCGTGGGAATTCCAGAAATATCGTCAGAATTTTTAATTCAAGCGTTTTCCCCACCAAACAGGGGCAAAATATTGTGCGGCGCGGTCGCGTTACGGCGGCATCTGGCTATTTGCCAGGAATCAACGCTGGGGGCCGTGGACCAGATTTCGGAACCCATTTAATCGGCACTATTTTTACGTAATGTTTCAAAAATTTCACATTACCTTTTCTGATTTTATAAGATTAACCAGGGTTGAAAAGCCGCTTCGCGACTTTTCAACCCTGGCCTCTCTGCGGGGCCCTTTGATACACGGGCACTTTGCATATAATAATTTGCATTAATATTACGAATTACGTTAACGATAGGCACACCACAGAAATTACTTAAGCTACCGACTCGGAGCCCCGCAAAGCCCAGAATGGGCCGAATTAACCCTCGTATGCAAATTGGCCTATTTCCATATGTTTTAAAAACTTTAAAATAAGGTATTAAACGACATTTTTAAAAAATCTGATAAGCGTGCAGTAATCTACGCATTCGATTACCCCTTACTACCTTACTTTCGGACCATAAAATCCTTTCCCCTTCGAGTTATGACTGGAACCCGGGTTTTTATGCAAAGTGTCCACACACACACAGAAACTATTTTTTTATATATAGTAGGATGCAGGGCTTGTTTCGTCTTCTCTACCCATATTTAATTTTTAAAGCTATTTATATTTTTGATACATATTCGAAAATTTGTCATGCGCGGCTGTAAAACCAAGATGTCACCAGGTCATTAAAATTATTAAAAAGGAAACGTATGAACTCGGAAAAGCTCGAAACGCAAACCTAAAAAATTCAAAGTTATATGTTTCAGAAAAGTTCCGTTAAAGACGGCCGATTTTATGGCGAATTGGCCATGATCCCTCCAAGGATTTTTAGTGATTTTTTGAAATACGTTTTTGGATTATTAAATCCATTAAATTCAATTCACTGAATCATAATATTAAAATTGGCAGGCACCATGCCGGAAAGGTATCGATTCCCGAATTACGAAAAGAAGTATTAAAATTGATATTTTAAATTCACGTTCAACAGGTTTCTTTGTTTTTTCTTCTTGGCATAAATACTTTATTTTACATTATTTCAAGCTAAAATTCAAAGTCTTATTTTTTTAGGCTCGATTATGGAAAACATTCTTCAAAAATAGAAAAATTTGTAATAGAAAAACTGGAGTAAAATTTGAACAACGTAGTATAAATGTGCGAATCTTTCAATCACTGAATTTTTTCTGCATTTTTTTAAAAGCATTTTTGGCGAAACATCACAATTTAACCGAATTTTTCGAGATTTTTGAAATTGTAGGCTCTTTCGTTATAGAACTATTGCATTAAAACACATATATAAAAATGCAATAACCGCGTTTTAGATATTCAAAATTCCAAAAATTATACCAAAGCCCCGAAAAATTCCAGGTGGATGTCCCAGTCGCTCACGCAGAGGGATATCCTGCTCCTGCCGCAAGCCTCCCAGGCCGGTAGGCCAATTATAAAACGCTATTTTACATTTAAATCGAATTAAAGATACTGTAGAATATGCTAATAGAAGCCTTGGAAACTTTTTAATCCGATTAAATTTCCATACTAAAAAAATGCCCTATTTGCCGTGAAAATACTAATCAAAAACTAATTTTTCGATAGAAAAAAATGTTTCAATAAAGTGAAAAGCCGAAGAAGCTGAAACTTCACTAATCGTCCCATAGTACGATGGTTAAAATGTTTCAAATAACCCTACTAAAATCTAGTCAGTAATGAGACGAATTTTAGCTTTTGGAACTTTTCGAGAAATTAAAAATTAACATTTTTTGTATGTCTCTCGTCTTTTTAAATGTATTGTTCCTAGCAGTACACAAATCTTGTTTCGAACACTGGTTCTTTGGCATTATCGGGGGGGGCTTTTCCCTGCACGCATTTTTTACATATAGAAACGGAACTGTTTCGGAACGTTTTTTACTATTCCACAACGTCGAAACTTTACAATTAGTTAAACACGAAAAAGACCGATTTTTGGACTAAAAACTAAAATGTCACAAGAAATATTTTTCTAATTATTGCTATAAAAAAACGTAGTTCGGTACAAATAATATTGAAACACTGATTTTACGTTGCTAGGCAGTTTTATAATCATAGGAATAGTTCGTACCTTATTCTGCGAAAGACCCGACAAAATCAATGTTTCTAAAATACCTATTATTTAATATGATATTTTAAATGCAGTACAGGATTTTCAACTGCGCAAAATTAAATTAATGTTTCGAATATGATGAAAATAATAATTAATTAACTATGTATTAAATAACTATATTAGTTTTTCAGTTTAAATCCAATCCAATTAAAGTTTAAATCTTTGATGTGATGTTCAGTTTTTTACGGCTTTCTAGCATAAAAAATCAATGTTGCTATTAGAATAGCACCCGGGGAAATTTGGACGCTTTAAAATAAACTCATAAAATTAAAAACTAACAAAATACTTTATAAAATATTAAATAAAAACTAACCATTCACTCACCGCCCTCTCGCTCAGATATGTTGTTGACGATGTTGACGAATCAGCAGATGGGCTCATCCTCGTCAGGTTCAGCGCAACAAGATCATCTACCACCCACAACTCCGTTGACACCATTGACACCACATACACTTCTACAACAACAACAACAACATCAGCAACAACAACAGGCACCCGTACCTAGTAAGCAAATATTAACAAGACCGGGTTCTTATGTGTTATCGGGGGTGGGGGGTAATTTATTTCTTTAGGGTCCAACTCTTTTAATATAAATATAGAAAATATTTCTATTCTTTTTAATATTACGATTAAAAATCTATCGAAAAGCATTTAAAAAGACGAAATTTTGGTCCAAATCATTTTTTTGTATTGGTACCGGTTACAGGTTCTTATGCGTTATCGGGGGGGGGGGCTTATTCAATTAGGCTCCCATTGCTAATATAAATTTAGAATACATATATTCTTAGACTAATTTTCCTATCCCTAAGCTTAAAAAGTTTACAAATTTTGTCAGAAAAAAAACAACAAAAAATTCGATTTTGGATCCTTCTCGAAATTGCTTGATTAGTACGAAGAAAAAATCAATTACCCCCCCCCCCAATAATGTCAAAGCACCGGTTTTTTCACTGCTTGAATTTCTTTAAAATAATGTTGAATCGGAGTGAAATATTCAATCACGGCATTCTCTATAAAATTAGCCGGCTCTACCAGAATTGATTTGAAACACATCCTTCTTCGGCAGAAATTTTTTTTTCGGATTTTCCAAGCAATCCTGAGCCAGATATTCCAACAAATCCTACTAATTTCCTGTCTTTTTTTTAGTGCGAGCTTCTATTCACAAATTTCCGTTCTTTGCCTAACGACTAATATCCGGGGCGAATATCTGCTTTATTTCCTTTTTTCCATTTCTAGCAATTTCCAAAAAATAGACCCTGAGCCTTTTCATGGAATTGTGGTGGTTTTGAGCTTTTAAAAATATAATTTTGCATTTAATCATCTGAGTGTCGCACAATAACAAAAATAAAATTACTGTTATACGCGTCTTTTAAGAAACATGAAAAAAAACTCAAAAATTGGGAAATAATGAATAGGCAAGCTAAAAATAGCATGTAAACTTTTTTGTTTTTTTGCTATTTCTATACTTAAAGAAAGATTCATACACGTATAATATAAGATAAATACAAGAATTTAGATAATTGAAGAGAACAAATGTGAATCAGGATACAATTTTCAAAAAAAAACGTTTCATTTGTTGCTGTGTACTGAACATTCTATTGTTTCGAATTTTAGCGGAATGTCTAAGGGCGTAAATTTCGGAAAAAATGGATCTAAGCGTATTGGAATTCCCACAAAATGAAGTTTCTGAAAAATGTCGAACATGAAATTGGCACTCCTTCGCACCAATGATGTACCCGAATTTACGAAACATAACAAATTTCATCAAATCGTTACCTGATTTTGCCGTTTTGAATTTTAACGTTTTAACGTCTCTTATTTATTAAATTTATCAACAATCGTATCTACCAATAATTGCAGGAATCTATAAAACTTTATGCCTATCATAAAAGGAAATTAAATTTGTGGTCAGCGCGAGACCAGACCAAAAATGGTCCTTCTAAAATCATGTTTCGCCTCATGGCCGTTAATGCGCCGAACTAACGACGTCGATGGGCAATATTTTGATCCACAACAAATATTTCTGTATTTATTTGGCTTTTTACTTTCTTAATTCGTTTCTGGATTTTTCATACACAAAAATGTTGTATTAGCAGCAACCAGAATATGTTAAATACTAAGAAATAATATTTAAATCTACTTTACATCTGTTTCGGAGAACTGCCTTACATAAAATTGGTAGCACTTCGCACCCATGATGTACGCCGATTTACGAAACAAAAAAATTGCATCAATTCAGCTGAATTTGCGGCTTTGAGTTATAACGTTTTCACGCCTTTTATTGATTAAAATGATCCACAGTTGTAACCAGGGACGTAGCGTAAGGTGGGCCCCCTGGGCCCGGGGCCCCCCCCGAAATCTGCCGGGGCCCGAAAATTTCATAAGGGGGGACCCTTATGATTTTTATTTTCTCAAAAATTTTGCTGCCTGCGGCGCTATTTTTTCACGTTTTTACGACTATTTGTAGAGCTACATAGCCTTGCTTCTAAATTTTTTTGCCTGCGGCGCTGTTTTCTTGTTCATTTTTTGAGTTTTTCGGAAAAAATTTTCCGGGGCCCCCCCCCCCCGAAATTTTTTTCTGGCTACGCCCCTGGTTGTAACTACCAATAATTGCAGGAATCTATAAAACTTTATGCATATGATAAAGTGAAACTCATTTTGTGGTCAGCGCCAGAGCAGAGCTAAATTGTTTTTGTAAGATCATGTTTCGCCTCATGGCCGTTAGTGGGCCCAACTATCCACATCAATGGGCAATTCTCAATTCTTTGCCGAATAAAAATTTCTCCGTTTTTTGACTTTCTTATGACTTTATTTGTTCGTTTCTGAATTCTTCATACACAAAAATGTTAAATATTATGAACTAATATTTAAATCTACTTTACATCTGTTTCGGAAACTGCCGTTCATCAAATTGGTAGTAATTAGCACCGATGGTGCACGCAAATTTACGAAACAAAAAAATTGCATCAAACTTGTAGCTGATTTTGCCGTGCGTTTTTGCATTTTAACGCCTTTTTCTTAAAATTGCCAATTATTTATGTAGTAATTTATTAAATTTTATGCCTATCATAAAGTGAAACTCATTTTGTGGTCAGCGCCAGCGCAGAGCCAAATTGTTTTTGTAAGATCATGTTTCACCTCATGGCCGTTAGTGGGCCCAACTGTCGAAATCAATCGGCATCATTTTCTTCCATAAATAAATATTTCCCTAATTATTTTACTACCAGCGCCCAAAAACCGCTTCGCGGGCCTTGGGCGCTGGAATACGGCCTTTGCGTGAGAAATTTGACTTTCCGATAGCTGGGGTCCTTCGGACCCCTCCCTTCCTCCGACCACACCCGCGCGTGCAACTTGCAAGAATGAGGAAATTTGTATTTTTTTTGGAATTATGCAAAGTAGCCCTCCCTGGCGCCGGACACACACACACACACACAAAGATACACGACCAAATTATATAAGGTAGGATTTACTTTTTTAATTAGTTTCTGAATTTTTTTATACATAGAAAAGTTGATTTTGGGAATGCAAAAGACATTAAATATTGACCTTTAAAATTTAAAAATGCGGTTTAGGTATAAAAATTACTACTGTATTTATGCAGCGATATATTGGCATTTTTGTCTAATTAATTTTATTTTTTCTTTAAATTTATGAATGGCAAGAATCGTCTGAATTAATAGGCTGAGTTTGCCCGTATTAGTTGGCAGAAAATGGAACATAGTTTTTCGAAAAAAAAATGTCAATGTTCTTTCTTCTGTCGTATCGCTATTTTACACTAAATATAATCTTCCATTAACGCATTCTAACCTACCTCTAACATTATGGCCAGTTTTTTGGTTATGCTAATTAAATAAAACCATTCGATCAAATATAATTGATAAAATTATGTGTTTCAATAAATTACAAAAATCCAAATTTCAGGCCCGACCCGTGTCACGTCAACGCATATGCCATCGGCGTTGTGCGAAAAGTTGATCCAGTTGTGCAACCAGTATCACGTCATCATTTCCGATAATGGTCAGTCAGAAATCGGAATTTGAGTAGCTTTAATTTAATTCTAGAAATAATTTAAAACGAATAATAAAATAAGTTAATTACTTCATTAACCAGATAAATTAAATGTTACATCGGTGCTTTGGCATTATCGGGGGAGGGGACTATCAGCAAAAAACTTTAACTTTCTGTAAACACCAGAAATGCCTAGTAACTTAATAGTAAGTATTTTAATAATTTTTGGTATAAAAATTCAGTATATTTCAATGGAAAACTATCTAAAAAACTTTAAATTACAGGATTTGAAAATGAAAAACCGACATTTTTTGTATTTTTCTAATAAATTTGCAAAGTTTTTGCGCATAGGAACGGCAAAAAAACGGTTGGGAAACACTTTCGGTATCGATATTAGACAAGGCTCCTCCTGATGACCCCCCCGATAATGCACAAGATTTAAACATCTCCTAAAAAATCACTGAGAAAAACGGTGATTCAATTAGACAAGCTTCTTTTGTTTTCCGAAGTAAATTCCACGAAAAAAATGTTTCGCACCAACAACAAGTGCAAAATTCTTTTGGCGGTTTTAATGAGGCGCAATACTATACTCCCAATCAATCCAAAAAAATTAATTTCCCATAGTTAAGATAATTGGTTGTTTAATTTTGTTTTATCGATATGCACGACGAGCTTCAAAAACTGATTGTAAAAAATGCAATTTCAGTGATTATTTTCGTGTTTTGAAATTAGTGATTTATAACCTATTTATTGCAGGCAACTCGATGGACTGCCGAATGAAGAGGCGGAATCTGTGGATGGAGATCAGCCGACAATTGAATAGCGAGGTGGGCTGATCGATTTATTTGATTTTGATTATTATAATAGAATTTTTCGGATTAATGTAACCTATGTGACAAGGATTAACCTCGACTGTCTTTTTTCCTGTATGGACTTTCATAAAACATATTTTTTTTCCTTAAATGAAATCCGATGGAAAAACTTAAACCTTCTCGCGAAAAATTAGCATGATGTAATTAATGTATGTAATTATGTAATGTAAATGTAATTCACCTAAAGACAGCATCAAAATCAGGGGAATTACCATAGAATTCGATAATTTAGTAAAATTAAAAACTAGTTTCATCCTCATTAAAATTAAACTAATTTTTGGGAACAAGGTATTTTCGAAAAACAAACTTTTTTCGATCTACAAGCAGGCTCGAAGAAGGTGCATTACTATATTGTTCAAAATTTTTGGTACTATAATCTTAGACGAAACATAGTTTTTTGGCGGGTTTCCGGACACTGCAATTATCAGATTTCTACAAGGGTGCAATTGGAACCGCAAACCGTATTGATCCTTCTATTAAAATTTATTCGGGAAAACACATTAGGGGCTTTTACGCAACATTCTTTTCGGGAAATACCGCTTCAAATCTTAAAAATTGCGATAAAAGCATTGAAATTCGGTGCTTTCGCATTATCGGGGGGAAGCCGTTTTTGACAGTTTTTTAATGTAAAAATTTTAAAAAATTTTGGACAATAAAAATTATTGGAGCCAAGCACAATGTGTGTTGCGGAGGTGGTAAAAATCTCCAGTGAAAATCCATGAAAATGCCTTTTCTGGTCAATGAAAGGTTTCAAAGCAATTCGTCCAAACAACCTTGCAAATAAGAGGGCGTGAGATGAAAGACATATTTTTAACGACGAAAAAGCAACCTCGAAAAAGTTTTCCGCCAACATTTTTTTATTGCAAATTCTTATTGAAAAATAATATAACAATTATAAAATTATAAAGCTTTTTATCCCGTATTAATTTTTATATAATACAACATCTTTTGCAGTTCAACGTCGAGTTCACGGCGGACCAGTACAAGAAAAAGTACCAGAACCTGAAGACGGCGCTCAAGACCAAAATGCAGAAGTCGGTAGAGAAAACGTCGGGTTTGACGTGTGTTAAAATACGGATTAAACGTTTTGTTAAGATAAAAATTTACATTTTTAATAAAATGTATATTTTTTAATTAAATTTCCGAAAATTATTTTTCTTTCTAAAAGTTCATGACGTAAAACACTCGAAACCTTTAATTGTTTTAAAAAGTTTTTTTATTAAAATCAAGCTAACTTAAATTTAAGTTGAAATGTTAAATTAAATATTGAAAAATCACCGTGATTTTGCTATTTTGGAAATTTTTTATTTTAGTAAAACCAAATTATATGTTGATTTTGCCAAAATTATGTCGGTTAATTTTGAACTTAAGTTTTTGCCGTGTTAAATTTTGAATGTTTTACGAGTAATTCAATTAGCTCCGAATATTTTTTTACCAATTTTGGTATTGCTGAGCTGGATCGATGAAAAATTGTTAATTTTCTTCTGAAATGTAACCAAACTTTAATCATTTTTGGGCAAAATAAAATTCATTTTTTCAAATTTCTATTTTTTTATAAATTCCATAATTTTGCCATAAAATTTAATTTAAGTTTTTTTAGCCTGGGCCAACCCGGCACGTCGATGCGGACCGTGTCCCCGGATTCGCGACGCGACTCGCAGGTAAATTTTACGTACGAAAAAATATTACAAATTTTATATTCATTTCACATTAGGGTAAGGCGCTACCACACGAGGCAATTACTTAAAAATATTCAAATTAATATAAAATGAAAAAGGCTCCGAAAATTTTTTCATAAAATAGAATGTTTCGCTCACGTTTTAGGAGTTTGGCCGCATTTCTTCGCCAGTCGGAGAATCGTTTGTTCCATGAATCCGTGAATCCAAATAACCTCAGAAAATCTAAAAATTTCATCGATTTAATCCTAATTAAAATAACTAGTTAAAAATATATGTATTGATATCATGATCAAAATGCTTTTGAGTTTCTTTCGTCGCACAACTCGAGTTTAAAATTAAATTAAACCGAGCGTTAAAAAGCTTTGTCAATTTAAGTAATAAAAGGTGTTACTTCTTGATGTTTAACGTAGGCTTAAATTAGTTTATACATTATCAGTAGTCCCGTTATTTGATAAAAATGCGTAATTTTTTTTTGAATTGGCCCAAAAATGCTAGAAGAGATCGTTCCAGGCGATAATTGCTTTAACAATTTTGTTGGTATATAGCTTTTTTTGCCAAAACATGCTTTTTTAGGGCTCGGCCAACTCGCAGACCCAACCTGTGACCCCGATCGACGTTAAACAAGAGGGATCAATGGTAATTCACCATTTACCATTGTTAATCTTTTACTAAGTGAAGCCAAATTTTAATTTACTTTGAGCCCACATTTTAAAGATTTTTAAACATTTTAATTTTAACATGAAAATCAATTCAACAGCTAGAACATTGCGCAAATGGATCCAGAGAAATTTTTCGAAGTTTTGAGAATTTTTGAAACATTTTTATTTTTGACAAAAATTTAAAGATAAAGCAGGCTGGCTAGCATCGGTTTTTGAATATAGGAAGTCACGGTGAACTCTTTTACAGCGACAGTGCAGGCTAGCAGCGATCCCTTGAGAGTAGAGTGAGGGAGGCCTAGGCTAAAGCCTAGGCTTGCCTAGGCTTCCTCAGGCTTTTCTAATTTGCATCGCCTAGGCTGAGCCTGGGCTATGCAAAGTACGCCTGACCTCTAATTAGTCAGGCTTTATCCGGAAATTTTATGTAAAGTCGTAGTATATTCGAAGTTTTGCCGAACAAATAAGGATTTTTTTGAAACTTCCGGGGGTTCGAAGTGCTGTATTGGGTCCAAGAATATTTTACAAAGTTAGGGTACTGTTTTTGACAAACCTTACGGCACGATACGTTACTAGCACGCGGATACACAAAAGCCAAGAGGCGGATCAAACGGGTGGGGGATGCAATTGGCTCTCCTGACATCCTGCCTATATTTTTCCCACCTTCGGCATCCTTGTAATTTGTTATTGCGTCAAAGCTACCAAGGTTTTAGATGCAGTAACCAGATTAACATGTTTTTGCGCATTGCATAAAAAGCCTGCGTAAATCCTTAGGCTTCCGCCAGGCTTCGGCAGGCGCGGAAATGCAATTCGGCCCAAGAAAGCCTGAGGAGGCCTGCCGCTCCCTCACTCTACTTGAGAGTAGTGATGGGGTTATTCAAATCAAATCTTGAGTCAAATCTGAGAGCTCAAATCTGAATATTTGAAGGCAAAAATTTCAGTTTCAAATCGGCGGATTTGATTTGAAATCCCGTGGGCGAGTTCAAATCAAATCTCGAGGATTTGATTAAGCTTCCGGTCCTTAATCAAATCTTATTGAGATGCCGGCACGCAAATCATGAGAAAATAACTATGTCCGAACTACCAAGAACCGGAAATGACCTCGATTATGCATGCCATCATAAAATTAGCATCCTTGTAATGAGCTATTGATTTTTTCGACTCCTTTCAAATCCTCGTTCAAATCTTCAGATTTGAACTCAAACCTCGAAAGTCCAAATCAAATCGATTTGATTTGAAGAGCTGACCCTTATTCAAATCAAAGCGGCAGATTTGATTAGGCGGATGCAAATTAGATTTGAGATTTGAATAATACCATCACTACTTGAGAGCAAATCGTAGTTATAACTCAATTAATTGGGCTTATTTACCGATTTTGGCCAATTGGCAATGGGATATGGGAAAAATTTAGGTATCTGCTTTCGAATATGATCAATTATCGATAATTGAAAAGTTACTAAAGCCAGCCCGATAGCACGAATATTGAGAAATTCCGAAACATTTCCATTTTCATAGCAGAAATTTAAAAATGTAGGCAGCGTATCATCGATTCTTTAGGCCATAGCGAAATTTAAAACTCGGATATCATTGAGGAACATCAAATTTTTTCTATCGAGCAACGGAAATTTTGATTATTAAACGAACGTAAATTGTTGTTTGTTATTTAGGAGACAGGAACTGTTTTTTTTTTGCAATGTTAGAACATAAAATTTTCCAGTAGATCCAGCGCCACAGGCAGGCTAGCAAAGATTCCTTAGAGAACTTATTCAGGCGTGGAGTTTTCGATGGTCGGAATAAGGCTACAGTAGCTTTCGCAAAGGCGGGCCAGCAGAGGCGATTTGTCAAAAAAACAAAATTTTTAGGTACCATAAAATCCCGAGTATAGTCCGGTACACTTTGGCGACGCAGCAATACAAATGACGTTCTAATAAAGTGCGTCCCCCTTGGCTCTCGCCGCAAAAGCTATGTAAGCCAAAAGAGGCGGTTCTTAGGACTTCCTGCATCAATTTCTTTCAATAAACCACTCGAAATGCTGGAAATAGTCGACATGTGGGCAAATTTTGAATCAAAGGTGCAAAAATACCTTTCGTGAACGGAGTTATTTGCGAGAAACCGAAAAAACGGAACACACCCATTTACGGCCATACGGAGTTACGAACGCTACGTACGTTCCACTTGAACTATCAGGGGGGACTATACTCGGGATATTGGGGAAATTTCCGACTGCAGGAATGCGTCCTGATTAAGTGTTTTTTTTTCTCTGTTCAGTACGACCGGGAAAATTTGATCTTCGCGGTAACAGCAGCGCAGTAAATATGAGTCCAATCCCACGAAGCTTGAGAATTTTTGAAACATTTCCATTCTCAGAGCCGGAATTAAAAATGCAGGGAGGCTAGCATCGTTACTTTAGGACACAGACAATACTGGAATGGCATTTAGGAAAACCAAATTTTTCAAAAAATTTAACTGGAACTATCGCGAGTTGAAATTCTGGAATTTCTCAGCATCGTCTTCCTGAAATTTTTCCGAAACTCCCTTTTGCAAAAATCTCATCCTGTAGGTTGCAAAAAAATTTAAACATTGTTTTTACCTACTATATGATAATTATATTTAATAGTATTAAATTATTTATTTTTGCAGCTGCAGAGCTCGTCGCCAAACAGCCCGGTGCAGGCGCCGCACTTCAACAGCTCCCTGGCTAGCATCATTAGTTTTGTGAGTTTCACCGAATATTGGAAAATGGAACGGAAAGAAACCGACTAATTAATACATACGCTTTGATCTCGATTTCGTCAACTCATAAAATAAAACAAAACAAATCTTAAAAATTCGCGGGAGAAACAACAGCGAAAAAATAGGCTATGATACCCCTTTTTATTCCAGGATTTTTTAAGAAACTCTTTTTTAATCGCGACTTGAATCCCGCAAATAATGGGGGCCACTCATTATTTCTAATATTTTAAAGAAGGGCGGGATTTCGCGGGTGCCATTCGATAATGATCGAAAAATATACTAAGAGAACTAATTTTGTAATTAAAAAATTAATAAGCAACTTTCTTTGGTAAAAAAATTTGGTTGAAAACTATGGGATAACGGGGAGTCGACATTCAATATTGTCGATAGTTTCAAAATTTTATTCGATAGAGGGTCCAAAATATGTTCCGAGCTTTTTTATACTCCGGAAAAACCCATCTTTCACATCATTTTTATTACAGGAAAGTGATCACCGATACAGTAATATTAGGCCACAAACAGGAGAGTTCCCCCACCGCGATTTGAAAAACATTTTTACTAAAAATACGGTGTTACAAAATCTGGGACAATAAAAATCTAGCTAGCCGGTATTTAATGCTGAAGCTCGCCTTTTACACTACCAAAAATCAAATTGAAAGGTATTTGGATTTTTTTCGAAACACGCAATTTCTACATATGGCAAATTGGGCCCGAACTCTTACTACAGCCGATGTCTGACGCTTTTCCTAATAAAATTCACTGATTTTGGGATGATCCAATTGACACGATCAGCTATCAAAATGTTACTAACTGTAACCCTCTTATGGTCGAAGCGGAAATTCGTTTCATAAATAGCAAATCTTGTGCAGAATTTTTCGCTGATTCCGAATTCGGTTTCAAAAGTTGCGAAACCCCCACAGATTAAAAAGTTACAAACGTTTTTAGTACCCAAAATGCCGCAAATCGCTTACTTTAAAGGGTTCTAAAAATTCCGTAGAATACTTTTGGGTGGAGATGAAAGCGTGCTCCGGGGTAAAAAAACGTGCTCTTTCGAATGGGCTGTCTCACGAACCCGTAGCTCGAGATTTGCAAAAAAAAAAGTTTTTTGACGAACGCTTGCCCAAGATGGCGGATTTTCGAAATTTTAGAAATTTCGAGCTACGGGTTCGTGAGATAGCCCATTCGAAAGAGCACTTTTTTTACCACGGAAAATGCTTTACTCTCCCCCCAAAAGTATTTTACGGAATTTTTAGAACGCTTGAAAGCAAGCGATTGTGACATTTTGGGTATTAAAAACGTTTGTAACTTTTTAATCTGAGGGGTTCCGCAACTTTTGAAACCGGATTCGGAATCAGCGAAAAATTCTGCACACGATGTGCTATTTGATGAAACGAATTTCCACTTCGACCATAAGAGGGCTACAGTAAGATTTTTGAGCTGCCGGTACAAATTAAATGTTTTACGATCTATTAAAAAGCATCGATTTTCAATAAAGTGTATTATGTAGAGCCTTTCTTCTCCTTAAAAACAAAAAATCCCGGCATCAATTAATACAGTGGTTCTGATTCTTTAGCGGGGGGGGAGGAGGCGGCACCAGAACCAACGTATTTTAGAAGCATATGAAAAACAAGTTAGCTTGCAAATCAATTCGCAATGTGTTTAGTAGATGAAATTAAGGATTTTATAAAATAGATACTTCTGTCATCTGGGCCAAGATAATTTTGCACAAAACATTTAAAGTTGTATCCGCCGAATATACACTGTGTAACACCCCCATTTTCAGCCAAACTTTTTGCAGCAATCGACGTCGCCGGTGCGGCCGACACCCCAAGTGCCCACCACCCCCCTAGCCGGGCTTTTCGACAAGAATGCCATTCTCGCGTTGGCCGTCCAGGCTGCCCAGCAGCAGGTAAAATCATAACTACGTCGTTTGAATTATGCAAATACCAGTTGAATCATAAAAAGTTAGATGTCGAAACCGTTCAAAATTTTTGCATAGAAAATTCGGGTTATGTTTCATGTCATGTAGACCTTTCGTATACTTGAATTATATTTGACTCATTAAATTTAATTCTTGATATCATAAACTTATTTAACTTTCTTTTCTTATAATAAAAGTATAAAAAATTCTAAATAATATTCAAAGCAATATTTCTAAAAAAAAAGATGTTTCGAAAAAGGCGTAGCTTAGAATCACCGCCAAGCCAGCAATCAATGAATTTGGTATCCTTCGAAAGTATGCTTGCGAGAGCGTAAATATTTATTTCTCCCACTTTCCAACCCCTGACATTTGTCTTTTCCGATAAAGGGGGGTTTATACAAAAACCATACTTTCTGAATTTTTACAGTTTTTTTTGGCAGCACGACGGTAGAATTTTTTTGAGCCGGGATGGACCACAGTTTGGATGCCATCTGAACTTTAAAATTAAAAAACCAAAATGAAAGTATTTTTTTGTAAAAGGACCTGTAACTTTTGCATTAAAATGCCGGAAATCGACCAAAAATTCTGGAATGATGAAAATCTCCTCAGCTCGTCGACAGCTTTCGATAGATACCTAAATCGTAAAAACCAGACCTAACAAGATGCGAATTATGTGTTTCAAGGCAGCTAGTTGAACCACGGGTGGACCACTATTTATTGAATACAGTGAGGGTGGTCATAAATCTGCGTTTCTGATTAATTAATATTTAAAACTAATTAATAAAATGAATAAACAAAAATAAATAAAATCAATAATAAATAAATCAAAACTCTAGTGATAATCATTTAGTGAAAGCCCCCCTGAATAAGAATATTCTTCACGCCCAGTCACGGTGTATTAATATTTCTCTAGCCCAAAAATAGCCAATGTTTTTTGAAAGATACTTTTTTAAGGGGAGCGGATTTTGCTAACAAATGACATCATCAATCTCAATTTCCCTTGTTCGATGTTAATTTAAAAAATTGTCGGTATTTTTCGACGCCATTTGATAGAGCATCGAAAACTAGACTAAGCATTTTAATTACAGCTCCAACTAATGTAATATAAAATAGTTATGGTTTAAAAACAATTACAGATGAAGGCAATTAGGGCAACAGATCCAAAAACGTTTTTGAAACTGTTTGAAACTAACTTTTTTTTAAGTTCAATCTACCCGGCCTCGCGGGGATCAGCCCCCAGATTGGCGGCGATATGGTACGGCTTTATGAATCTTTCATTTAATTCTTTTTTTACCCAAAGCTTTTGTAGATTTCAATTGCATAATTAACTTTGTAAATCAAATTCAAAATTTAATTGATTAATTATATACAAAATTCAGGCCGGCAACCTTCCCAGCGGCTCGGACATGGCCAGTCTCCTGGCGTTCGCCACGAACCATGTGGGTTTTTTTTTGAGGTTTGAAATTGTAGGATTTCAATTCAATTAGAATCCTATTGAAAAATTACTATTAATATGAAATGGCACTTTTTAAGTGGCTCGAAAACCATAGCCTATAAAAATCCATACTTCGGTTGCATGGCTGAAAAAAAATAGGTTTCATCAAATTATTACTTTCCGCGTGGAAACTGCCCTCCATTCCTTTCTTTTTATCCGCCCATATATTAGAAAGAAAGAATAAAAACATCTTTTAATTTAAATTTAGATGATTCTTAGGATACGATTAGGACGATTTTTTTAGAAAAGTGTTGCGAAAAATTCACAGGTTTAGCGATGAAATGAAGGATCAATGGTCCGTGGTGGTTTTCAAATATCTACTTTTTGTCGTGGGTAAACCGGATGTTTCAAAAATTTCCTAGTATAGTTCGGGTGGCTGGAAAAAATAGGTTTCATCAAATTATCACGTCCCACGCGGAAGTTGCCCTCCAGTTTTTGCTTTTCTTGACATTCTATTAAGCGAAAGAACTAAACCAATATTTTCGATTCAATAATTTAAAATACGATTTAACCGATTTTTTAAAAAATGTGTTTCCTAAAATTGCCAGATATGGCGCTGAAATGAAGGAGCAATTAGGAGCCGTCATTATTTCTACTTGTTGCCAATTTATTAAATAAAAAGAAAATTTTCGAAACATACCGTTTTACCGCCTCAAAAATTACGCTTTTTAGTTATTGCATAGTTGTGGCTCGTTACCGCATTATAGGCTTGGCTGATAAATTAATTAATAATTTTCCCTAATCACCGATAACAAAATAAAATTCTTCTAATCTTTTTATAGTTTTCTAGCAATAAAAGACTATTAAAAACTATCCAAATAGATTATATGTTATTAAAAAGGAGTTATAAGCGTAAAAAAAACAAATAGCTCCCCCGATAACAGTCCAGCACCGTTGAACCGTCAAAAAAATGTTTCATCGAAAAGCCATGCCGAATGCGCTTAATGTAGTCCAATCGGCCAAAAAAAGGAACCACAAAAATTGGAAAATGTTCTTAATATTAATAAAATAAAAGTAGCTTATTAAATAAAACCAGGCAGGAACAATTTTATTGTTAGGAACCTGGTCTTATAGTAATTAGGAATTTAACTAGGAATTGAAACCTGGAAATCATTGTTCAAAATGTTTCGTAGGCGAAGCACAATAATATGTTACATTTTTAAGGCTTATTTCGAGATCTACCTTGCGAGTAGATTGATTCGTGTACATAAAGAACCATTTCAATTTTATAGCATTTTTGTAAATAATTTTTACAGCAAATGGAGCGTGAGAATTCGCTGGAGACGAGCGTGGCCGGTCCCCTGCATCCACTGTCCGTATTGAGACCCATTTCAACGGGGGATCCGGATCGGGATGCCGAACATATCACTGGTATGTTTCCTGTCGAAGCAAGCTTTGAAAAGCAATACTTATTTTAAAAACTTGAAAACACTTGTTAAATAAAAATTTAACCTATGATGAAAATTTCGTCTTTGAAAATTGATTTTGAAGACTACTCTTGGACGACTGATTGTCGAATTTCCGATGAAACCGGAGTAGTTCTTTTTCACAACATATTTTTGCAATACCCCGAGTCGATTTCTCGAACGCTTTTTTAACGTAAATTAAAGCCATATAAAAATCCGGGGTCTTTTTCATTATCGGGGGGCCAATTTTTTTCTAAGGATCCAATTTTACTAATATAAAAGCGGAAGTGTTTCTAAACTGTTTTTTACGATCCTATACGTAAGATAATATGTACGAACACATTAAAAGCAAAAAATGGCCGATTCAACCCGGAACAAAATGGCGATTTTTCGAACAAAATTGTATCGAAGAAACTTTTTAGGTTTTTTCAACGTCATGTCACTTGAAATATGGTTAAATTTTACAAAGACGCTACTAAAATACTTACTATGACATTACTAGGAATTTTAGGACGGTATTGAAAGCTGTTTCTGCGTATAATTCCAACCTCTCAAAAAAAGTGTTCGTTTTTGAAAATTAGTGTTCCAAAATTCTGCCTATACTGGATGAACAATTCCTAATTATTATTGCGCAGATAAGGCTAGGCAAAATATTTTGCAATTTTTTGATCGATTTTTCGAAATCGATTCCCTAACAGGAATATGGTATTTTTTTATATTTGTGGTTTAATATTTTTTATAGTTTCAGCCTTTATATTCAACCCTAATTTAATAGTTTTTGATGCGTAGCTTTTTAATATCGGTTAAGATTAATGATAATTTTTAGCTTTTTCTGAGGAGTATGTTTTATTTAAAGCTTTTAGAATGCTCTGCAGTCTGGATTATTGTTATAAAATTGATTCTATAATAGTTTCTGAATAATCGAGAAGGTATTAATCGTTGTATGAAACATTTTTTGTAAAAACCTTTAAAAATTGAACTAAATAAATATGTAATATTTATCAGGCCGAATTAAAATGATTAAGATGCCCCGGGTTCGGCGATAGATTCGGCATCAGTGTCGGATCATGTCGCTCCACACAGCTCCTCCCTGCCCCATATTTCTCCGCAACAAGAAGAGGATCCGGCTCGCATGTTTTGTAAGTTTAATTCATTTTAATAAAATGAATGTTTTACGAATTTTCTCTAACTAAAAACGAATACATTGTGATATTCTCATGAGCTTCGGGATTTGGAATAGCTTGTAGTTCTTACACAAAAAAGTGTTTCATATTATTTTCTACAAAAACCGGAAAATCGGGATGTAATGGCAAGTCGACACCATATCGTAAATTCTTTGCAATTTAATTGTCGATTTTAATTAGGATAATTATTGGTGAAATGGGGTAAATATAGGATAACGGGCGACCTTTCTCCGGCATTTTCAGGATTTTCGATATTTTTGAAAATTCCATTCGATAAGGGCCGAAAAATATACTAAAAGCTTTTCATAGCGGAAAACAAAAGACTTGGAGAAATTATAGTTTGTGATCGAAAATCTATTGTTTTGTAGTTTATTAATGTAAATTTAAAGTTTTTACGTTTAGAAATAACAAAATTAGAAACACATTAAAAAGTTTTACGCTTAAAAATTTAGAAAAATAGGAACAAAAAGTTAGGAAGGTTACTGAACATATTAAAGAAAACATTAAAGAAAAATTGTATAATAAAGAAAACTAATTAAAAATAAAGGGAAAGAGCCGGGAATCGATGTCGAATTAAAAGGCCATCCGCGGGTCACTCGAACAGTCCCCATTATAGCTTGGCACAGTTTTTTCGACCCTGTTTTTTTTGACGGCATCGGATAGAGCATAGTCGAATTAGTAGGGCTGCATAGTTTTGAAAGTTTAAAAAGTTAATTTTTAGTGTTTAAATGGGCCTCAAAGTTGCCGACCCCGAAAAACTATCTCGAAAGCTACTGCACAGAATTTGCTGAAAAATTGTGACAATACCTAATTTGGGATGGGGATCATTTCTCTAATACATCGCAAAGCGCTAAAATAACCGCAACATGGCTAAATCGCAAAGTAAAACCAGTTTTTTAAGATTTTCGAGACTTTTCTGCATCGATTGGTGTATCATTTAGCTTGCGCGAGGAATACTAACATCGAAAAAATCACGATTTGTAGGCGAAAAACGCGGAAAAAAATGTCCCATAAAAATACAAAGTTGTTAATTTTGTTAATCTGTGGTATCAAAACGCATCTAGAAGCCGAGTTGAAGCGATTGCAAAAAAGAGCAAAAAGAGATTCCCTTTCTTTCGATGTCGCGGAATCGAACCCGGACCCTCCGCCTGGGAGTCCTGTGGCGCAATGAGTAGAGCGTCGGCGTGCCAATCCAGAGCCGCCGCAAGTTCAATCCCAGCCCCCTCTCAGAAGTCGAATTTCGTTTTGCTCTTTTTTGCAATCGCTTCAACTCGGCTTCTAGATGCGTTTTGATACCTCAGATTAACAAAATTAACAACTTTGTATTTTTATGGGACATTTTTTCCGCGTTTTTCGCCTACAAATCGTGATTTTTCTCAATGTTAGTATCCCTCGCGCAAGCTAAATGATACACCAATCGATGCAGAAAAAGTCTCGCGCAACTTTCTATGCTGGTTTCAGGTTGCGCTCGGAATACTAAAAATTCGAAAATCTTAAAAAAACTGGTTTTACTTTGCGATTTAGCCATGTTGCGGTTATTTTAGCGCTTTGCGATGTATTAGAGAAATGATCCCCATCCCAAATTAGGTATTGTCACAAATTTTCAGCCAATTTGGTTCAGTAGATTTCGAGATAGTTTTTCGGGGTCGGCAACTTTGAGGCCCATTTAAACACTGAAAATCAACTTTTTAAACTTTCAAAACTATGCAGCCCTACTAATTCGACTATGCTCTATCCGATGCCGTCAAAAAAAACAGGGTCGAAAAAAAACTGTGCCAAGCCTATTTCGGTCCACCCGCAAACGGCCTTTTAAGGTTCGGCTGATTAAAACTTCATGCTTTTGGCGAACTTTGAAAGTTGACGATACATTGATTTTTGTAGGTCTGTCGCTGGCCGACCCGCTGCGCCGTATCAAGCAAAAGAATCCGGTACTGTACGTCGAGCTGAAGCGGCGGTTGTCTACGATTGTATTTGACGCGGAGATGGATACGGTACAGGTACTCTATGTAGAAATATAATAACGCAAAATTAGGATGATTTAACCTTTAAATAATCAAAAAAGCATTTAAACTCAACAATCGTCGCAAAATAGCGGAACTACTTTGAAGAGATGCTGCAAAAAAGATGAAACTCGATTTTTCAACCATCAGAAAAATACAACTATTTTTAAAAATTCCGTTATTACTCCCCCCCTCGTCGTTAAGCAACCTTCACCTTCAAGAAATTATTTAAAACGTGACAAAATATAAAAAAACGTAATTTTTGCGTCATATTTCGTCTGTAGCTAACCGTCACCTAGTACTATCAAGAAATTACCTAAAGGATGTGTTTTGCGTGAAACTCAGCGTTTTCTCAGTACGTACGTGTAAAAACTCTGGGATGGGATTCTGGGATTTTCCTCAGCTCTTGCGGATTAACAGAAAAACATTCAAAAATGCTTCGCAAAGAGATGAAACATTGATTTTTTATGCTCTTGGAGCCCAGATTTGGAGCAATTAGGGCGGCATTAGGGCGCATGGATCTAATTTGTCTTTTTTCTATTAAATTAATAACAACACTCATGATAATTCTATCGATACAATTCAACGATTCTAACACTTTTTGAATGCTTTTAGAAATTTACCGTGCGATCTCAAACTAGCGGCAATACTTTGAGAGAATGTCCCCAAAAAAACGAAACATTATTTTTTTAATTTTTTGCTACTCACAACTTTGAAAACCTTAGGTACTGGGCTGTTAGCATGGGGAGAACTAATTTTTGTTTTACGCCTATGCTGTTTCCGAGCTGTTTAATATCCAAAAATAGTGTATTTTTAATGCTTTTATAATATAGTGGTTTTGACCGCTAGAAAGCTATAAAAAATATTTTAAACATTGTTTTGAAAGTTTATGAGCTTTTTATATCTAATAATTGTGTAAAATTCTATAAAAATGGTTAAGATTTTGATAAAGGACCCCATAAGATTACTTGAAAAATTGGTTTCACCCCGCTAACCCCCCCCCCCGGTAAGATTCCAGTACCAAAAATTCTCCTTTTTTAATTTTTATATTCTGAAACTATAACAAGTAATAAATCCTTCAATTCCAATAAAATGAAATAAAATGAACGCTGTTTCAGGCCGACTCGCAGGAGCCGCGCACGCCCACCGAAAGCGACGACCGCATGGAGTAGCAAATTTGCATTTTTCCAAAAAAATGCAACACCTTTTTTACCGCTACAATCCTGCCCTGCGGATGCAAATTTTTCGCAAAAAAATGTGGTTACGGTAGCATTTTGCAATTCCCGCACCAAATGATTAAAATTAATTATTTTTCCGGATATTTTCTAGTAAAATTACGGTATTTTTTTGCGCTGCGATTACTGTATGTTGTATGTTAATTTTTGTGTATTTTCGTGTGTATTTTGGTTTTGAATTTGGCGATTTCCTCCCCACCCTTTTCCCGGAAAAACAACGCCGCAGCGCGGTCCACCTTTTAGGGACAAATTTGGGGGGCCGCGTGGACCTGTGAAGTTTGTAGTTTAACTTTTAAGGGAGTTAAACTACAAAAAGGCTTTATTTATTTGTAGCTGAATTAAACCACAAAAGATGGCTTTGTAGTTTTATTTTTAAAGAATTAAACTACAAAAACAGTCTTTGTAGTTGAATTTAAGCTAAATTAAACCACAAAAAACATGACTTTTATGGTTTTATTGTTAAAGCAGATTAAACTACAAATTGCTTATTTTAGTTTAATTTTTAGTCATGTTAAAATACAAAAAATATTTGATGTAGTTTGCTTTCAACTTAATTAAACCACAATGATAGCTTTTGTATTCGCATTTTTTTAGATACATTAAACTACAAAATACTACGGTCCGCGCGGCCCCACCTATACTGTACGTAGCCCTGCTAACAACATGTAATTTAAATGTATCTGTCATTTTTTGGGTTTTTTGGGTCTGCCCCCTCCTTACTGAAGGCGTGTTTTTGGGAGGTAAAATGATTAGCACTTTTTAACAACGTCGAATTATCAGCAGGTAAAAATATCGATTTTTAAAAATTTTCAAAACATTCTTTTAGAAAATTTTTTGGGGCAAAAATTAATTTTGAATTAATCTGCGCTAGTTTTAAAACAAATATATTTTGGAATTAAAATTTAAATATTTTCGTAAATAATTTCATGATTAACACAAAATCTCTAGATTTTTCGAAATTTTGGAAAGATGTTTCACGAAAAAGCGTGAATCCGGCGCGATTTTTGGTGGCAATTAGGAGATCCCGGAGCACTGGAACACCCTGAATTTAATTGTCTGCAAAATCAAGATTTTTCCCTCCCAAAAATACCGCCAATACCGTAATCCTCCCCCCTTTCCCACCCCGGAAATCGGTCAGCACCCCACCGGTAATTAGATATTCAATTATTCGAAAAAATCGAGGCAGCAGGATTTGGGATTTAAATCTTAGCAATTTAACGATAAAGACTTACTCCAATATTTTCCTTCAATTCTAGAGAGATTTAACGGTTTCTAAATGATTCAAATTGTCAACAAAAAATCAAAAAAAAAGTTTTGAAAATCAATGTTTCGAAAAATTTCAAAATCCGGAAAACCAGGATTTATTCAGTTGATTGTGCATCGTAGCTGGCGTGCCTAATAAATAAAATCAAAATAAACAAATAAAAGCGTCTTTTAAAAAATTGATAATCCAAAAATTAAAAAATTCTTAAAAATCCCGAACCCTGTATTCTCGATTTTCGCAGTGCATAGCAAGAATCCGGTCCCGCCGTTTTGACAGGTAAAAAGCCCCTCTTTCTTGAACCCCCACCCCACCGCCCCAAATTCAGAATTACGCGTAGAAATCCCCCGGTTAGACATTGGATTAAAGGGCCCGGCAAGGCATGGCTATGGATTTGTGGCTATAGATTGCCTATGGAATTTTAGCCAAAATTTTTGGAGAAAATATGTTCCAGAAAATATTAAAAATTGGATTAATTTTTAATCGATAATACCACATATTTAACAGATAAAGCAAAAGGATCTTATCGCGCCGCCACACGCAGCGCGTGTGCCTCGATTTTCATGACCGAATGGATTAAGAAATCTTAAAAGCAGCAAGCGGTGCGCGCGCGTTGCATGTCGCGGCTCCGTAAAAATCCTGGAATTCCATCCATATTCTCTGGATTTTGACGCGCCGCGACACGCAACGCGCGTTGGATTTTCGTTTCGTTGTTGATGGCGACCGCTTCAACGCAGCCATCCGTTGCGTGTTGCGTGGTGACAAAAAAGCCATAAAAATCCTTAACGCAAAAATTCATAGCCATGCCGTAGCCGTCCCTTTAATGCCCCTTTAAATAGTATTCCATATTCTTACTGTATTCCCTTGATTTTCCCGGTGAAACCCCCTATACAACTGGTTTAGTTTTTATTTAGCGTGTTGAAGACGGCCGATTTTTTTGGTGTTTCGGCTCCTATTAAAGCGACGGCACGATTAGCGGAATAACGATTTCTCGAATTCGGGCATTTTTCTGAAACATCAAATTTTCCGCGAAAAAGCTTAAAAAGTCTTGATATTGAAAAGGAACCCGTCTTTTTAATAAATTTTTTAAAAATCTATAGAACTAAATGTTTTTTGAAACCTTTTTTTGCATTTTCGCTTGATCGTGGTAATATATTCAGGTCAAGAAAATTTCATGGGGGCCCTTTTTCTGAATTACCACCGTGAAAATTGCAAATTAATGATTTTGAAATTTTTGTAAAATGATTAAGTTTAAAAAACAAAATCTAAGTAAATTTAAGATTTAATCCAATACCGAGTGCCCAAAAATCCTGGACCAATAATTTTTTGAAACGCACGCTCGTCAAAAATTTAAGTGGACTATCTTTCTTGAAAAACAATTTTTAAAAGCACATGCTTTGAAATTGACATTCAATTAATTATGCGCATAAATTCAAACATTTTGAAACGTAAAAATTGAAAAATATATTTTTCATTAAAAATTCATTCAAAATTTTATATTTTACGGTTAATCAATGATTTCTCAGCACGAAAAAAATTGGCCGTTAAAATACCACCCCCGGTTAGCGCCTCTCCCAGATAGTTGCTATCAAAAAATTGTATGTTTTTTGTATAAAAAAATTAGATCCCGCTATTATTATTATCACTATTTTTCTATTATTCCCCGATCAATATCTAGTCCATATGAAACAATATCTCGCCCACCCCGACTGTCGACAGGAATCCGGTGTAGCCCTTGATTTTGATTTCCCATTTCCCTCTTTTCCACTCCCCATTTTTCGTTCGCTTGTAGATTCTCGCTTTCCGATAAATCCGGTGACCAGAATTGGCAACGGGGACGATCGATGAGAAATAGATACCGTAATCATACCCTAAAATGCAAATTTTAGCAAATCGACCTTTTTAAAAAATTGCCTTTCGGAAAAACCAAAATTTGGAAAGAAATTTCTGGCACTAAATGCATATTTTGAGCAAATTTTGGCCTTTAAAAACGCAAGGATATTGTCGATTTCAAATAACAATACCAAAATAAATGTAAAATTGTTGAGAAGCCGTATTCTAGACCATTTATTCAAACGAACACCAAAAACGACAAAGAAAACCGACATAAACATAGACACACACGGAAATCATCATCATAAAACACGTATGCGGGGCGGCGAACGGGGGAATGGCAAGCAAAAACAGGCGGTGGAAACAAGCTAATGGGGCTAAATTGCACAGAAATTTCATAACAAGAACACAGGCATTCCAATAAAAAAACTCTCCCTGTCGTTGTCCCTTTAAAGGGATGGGCAAGGCGTGTGGCTATGGATTTTATCGGCTAGGGAATACTGATTCAACTTTCCGAATCCGAAACACGCGACGCGCTCCGATTATTACCGCGAGGTGTAGGCGTTATAAACGATTACGCAATGAAAGGCGGGTCGCGTTGCGTGCGCGCGGCGCGGCAAAATCCAGACTAATCACGTAAAAATAAAATAATCATGATTTTTATGATCCTATGACATCCTTATTAACCTGCCGCGGGCGCCAGTCGCAAGGCTTTTGCCTTCGCGCCCAACGCGTTGCGTGTCGGCGATGCGGCAAAATCCACAAGAACCCAAATCCTTGCAATTTTTTGAGGCCATGAAATCCTTATCAAATTTGTCTTGGGCGCAACACGCAACGCGCTTGCCTTCGAGTCATGTTCCTAATCGATTACGCAATGAAAAAACGTGCGCACGTTCGCGCCGCGCCTAGAAAATCCATAGCCGACACTTACGCGCCCCTTTAAAGAAGAAAAATCATTATAGCAGGCTAGCGCAAGACATTTGTGCTGTCGATGTCATGAGATGGGGAGAAACTAACGAATTCCCACGCAAATCAAACAAGAAAAAGCTCAGTATAACGGCAGAAGATTACTTTCCATGGAGGGCAAATTTTGAGCAACGAGTATTTGTCAAGCGAAATATATGGGGTACGGGCGGCTACAGTTGGCGTAGTGACAACGGGGGGTAATGCCGCGTAGCCGACGTCGTGCTTTAATATTCGATTTCCGCGAATCGCTCCAAGTTGCGCGTCGCGTACTTCGTGCCGCTCAGGTCGCCGATCCGGTCGCATATCGACAGCACCTGAAAAATTCGGGTTTACTTTCAAAACGTTGAAATACATAATGTCGAAACTTGATAATGCCGAAGTCTTATAATGTCGAAATTCAGAATATCGAGTTTTTTTTTCGCATCGGATTCGGGATTTTTCCGGGAACTGGCTTATGTAAATCTCGACATTCTGAATTTCGACATTATGACAAAACATGGAAAAACAACGTTGGCGCCGCCTTCGAGCTGGACCATTAGCAGGGGGGGGGGGATTTTTAGGGACGGTAAACCCCAATTTTTTTACAGTAATCCCTCATGGCCCCATAACAAAACATACGCCATTTTTATAGCATTTTACAACGTTTTCAGATATAAAAAGCTCATAAGACTGATAAAATTTCGAAAACTTTTTGACTTTTTGCTCAAAAATATATGAAAATGAAACCAAAAAGATCAACATTTTTTAAGAGTTTCTAGCACAAGAACCACTAAAAACGCTAGAAAAATACTTTAACATTTATCAACAAAAGACAGGCGGAAAAAATTAGCCCCCAATCCCCGCTTTCGCCTATTTATTTTCCATGTTTCGCCTA